GAAAGAAAGAAAGAAAGAAAGAAAGAAAGAAAGAAAGAAAGAAAGAAAGAAAGAAGGAAAGAAAGAAAGAAAGAAAGAAAAGTTGACAGACGGAAAGATAGACACCTCTCCTCTCATCAAAAACAGCAAAGTGAGAGGGAGCAGGATAAAGCTCCGCTCGTGTCATTACCCCTGACCAGTGAGCTGGAACCGGGAAATATTGATGGATTCTGCCACCATTTTCTCCCGCCTTCCGACGCGCTAATCCGACATTATGACCGGACAACATGCAGTTATTTCTGCGCATGCGCTATGTCTTTCGCTTCAGTGACCCGCGTTAGCATCATCGCCGAAGGACGAAGTCATTTCATCTCCTTGTTTTTCTGCACGTCACCGTGTTTATCTTTCTGCCTCCGTCTTGTTTTTATCTCAATTTTTTCGCGTAACAATTTCCTATTTTTCCTTTTTCCCAAACTTTGGTATTTTATTGTTTTTGTTTTTGTTGTTTTTTTCGCTCTGTGAATCTCTTTCTTTCTCTCCCCCCGCCTCATCTTATTCTTCATCAACTTCTATCTTTTTAATGTGTTTGTTAAAATCTTTTTTTCTTTTTGCTCTGCACTTTCCCCTTGTTTGCTTGTCTGTGTGTCCATTATTGTCTGTCTTTTTGCCTCTCTATGTGTGCCTGTGCTCATGACTCTCTTTCTTTCTCTCTCCTTCCCTCCCCTCCTCCCTCCCTCCCCTGCTCTCTCCCTCCCTCTTTCACCCTCTCTCCCTCTTTCACCCTCTCTCCCTCCCTCTTTCACCCTCTCTCCCTCCTGCTCTCTTCCTCCCGCTCTCTCTCCCTCTCTTTTCCCCCCTCTCTCTCTCTTTTCCTCTTCTCTCCTTCCCTCTCTATGTCTCTCACCTCTATATTTTTCTTCCTCTCATTCGTTATAACCTTCCTCCCACAATAATCCCCTCCTTTATAATATAATATCTGAATCTGTAAATTTATACAGCTCAATCTGTTCAAGACAATCACTTGTTCAAACGACCACCTCCCACTTCCTCCATGTTTTTTTCTTCCTTTCTTTATGACATTGTTCAAGACGTCCACCCATCTAAGACAATCACTTTTCTCCTTGACAACGAGTGACCGTCTTGGACAGGTCCGACTGCATAATATTACATTACATTTCTTTTTATTTCTTTCTTCATCTCAATGCGCCATCTGCATCTATTCCCACCCTTTGTGGTTCTCTTGTACTTCATACCCTCTCTCTCTTCCTTCCTCCTTCCCCTCCTCCTCCCTTCCCTCCCTTCTCCTCGCTCCTCCGTATCCAAGTTTTTGTTTTTGCTTTGTTTTTGATAGTTTTTTTTTCTCTGAGACTGCTCATCTCCTTGCACGCTTAATCAAGTTTTCCAATATTGATAATTGCCTCAGAAACTTTTCCTCCGTCTTTTTTGTGCACATGTGGATGTTTGCACATGCTGAAGTGTGCGCTGGGCGCTGGGCCCGTCTCTGGGAGAGGCAGTGTGCTGTGCTGCCCTTCTCGCTCCCTGTGGTGGCATCGAGGCCGGGATCGTCCATGTTTGAGTTTGTGTGTG